GGAGTGATGACTTATTTTTGTGAACGATCATTCTATTAGCGAATCTTCCATCCGCACAGGAGCATATAATCGTACCTAACTTGTCTGAAGTGTTTTCATCAATAAGTTTTTTGCGTAAAACGTTCCCAAGGCCAAACACGCATTGAATTGACTCTATGACTCAAAAGAATGTGTGGACCCACCCCATAGCCCACCCCACCCCCTCCCATCCACTCTCCCTCTATCCTCGGAAGAGCCGATTATTTCACATTTCTCCGATTCAATACAAGTTTTTGCAAATAACTCCCACGCAAGTATCCATAAGGGTTTGAAAACGCTTGTTTGTCAAGGAACGAACCTTCTTCTGTAGTGTAGTCCCCAACCTCCTTTTGCAAGTTAGATATGGAGGTGAGCGCTTCAGACGAAGTTTCTTCTTCCTTCTTCAACAGGCTCGAGTCGAAGAAACCGTCATCGAGGGATTTTGTTGAGCAGGGTTGAGTTCTAAACGTCATCGAGGGATTTTGTTGAGCAGGGTTGAGTTCTAAAGGTTGAGTTCTAAACATGTAATTTGATGATGATAATAAGGAATCCACAGATCTTTATGCTTTCGGTAGTGTTCCCCATGACTGACCTTCTGTCCTCGTCGTCGCTGTTTGGTCGGCCGCTGTCAGCGGTTGGTGATGGAAGAAAACACGATTTTTCAACAGAAAGATGCCCGCCGGAAGGAGAAGATGGAGCACTGAAACGACCCATTGTGACAATCAGCGGACAGTCTATGGGCGTGAGGGTGACTCAAAAAGTGACTCGAGAGTCATCTAGTGGCCAAGAACGAGTGAATTACTTCAAATCTTACCTATCATCATCATCAGTCGAGTAAGTTAGTCGTACAGCTGCCTGTAGGAAATCCCTCTCCGATTCATCCATCAATGGGAACATCACCGATGGATCCTGAAGAAATTTGATGATGGAAGTTGGTATAGACGCTTTCCTAATGCCTCAAGTGTGATGGCTTCTTCCGCTAGTTGCTTCTTCAGAAGCTCAGTTAATGGGGTGCAGCCTCCGACAAACAGCTCCTCGTTACTATTGATGCTACTTTATAAATATTAGTAAATTCCCATGTAGGACCTCAGCTAGGGTACACCCAAGAGATATCAGAAAGACGAGCCTTGCTGTGTTCCAGAGCATTTCCCCAAAAAAACTTCTCAATAACCAGGGGAAAGTGTCTAGGCGTGTCGCCATGAGATCGCCCGGTTGCCGCCGGCTGAGTTCGACCTTTTTCCAAAATGTTTATATAGTTTGTAGGTTTTCACAGATACTCAGGGTGCAAATGCACGTTCCTGCCCTATGTGTCAGACCTTTCACTCTTATCAAATCCATCTTGTATTTGGTAATATTGACAACTTTCCAGGCTATGGGCTTAATCGATTGGTTGAATTTTCAGAGAAAAAAATTACCTCATTGTGCATGACGGGGGTAGCTGGTCTTGACGCTTGAACTCGACGCTTCAGAGCGGCAACAGAATGGACGGAAACGTTTGGAGTCGATTTGGCTAAAACCAACTCCATTTGTTTGGCTATCCATGAGGATTTAACATCCACTCAAAAACCCATCTTTCATACTCAGTCCCTTCTTATCGACTATCAGATATGGTTCAGAAAAAAAGACGTATCGAATTGGATAAGCTAGCAAACACCTAGAAGAGTGATGGCGATTTCTGCAGAATGAACCAGCGCAACGACTTACGGTCAGTCATATATCAAGAGCGCGCATTAAATGGGATCATTGAGTAATTCAACGATTCGTCTCAAGCATTTCCTTATGTCGCACAGATATTATAGCAAATCATTAGAACTTACTTATGGTTTTCTTTTTGTAGGCCAAAGGCGAGTTCTGCAAGGCTTCAATGGAGATCGGATTTGGTGCGGCNACGGTCAGTCATATATCAAGAGCGCGCATTAAATGGGATCATTGAGTAATTCAACGATTCGTCTCAAGCATTTCCTTATGTCGTACAGATATTATAGCAAAACATTAGAACTTACTTATGGTTTTCTTTTTGTAGGCCAAAGGCGAGTTCTGCAAGGCTTCAATGGAGATCGGATTTGGTGCGGCTTCTGGTGACCTGTCAGTGGTCGGCTCACTGAGCAGTACCTTTCGTCGTGGCTTTGGACGTGGCTGTTCCGATTCCATGTTTGATAAGTCCATCATTGAACGCTAAATTGATCTCTATCAGATCCGAGAAAGGAAAGCATCATCTCGTTATAATCAGTAGGCTGATAGTTGAAATTAGTTCGATTTCGCAGGGCATTGTCGCGAGCGGTTGCGTCGCGTTACCCCAAAGATGCACCAATGTATGGGGCAAAAACTCGCAATGGGTCCGTGCCCAACAGTGCCACATGGCCTCCCTTCGGATTGACTCAAAAATTAATGAAGATGATGTATTTCATTCCAAAGAATCTATCCATACCATTATGCTTAGCCGAGGTTTTGGCACTGGCTTCCAACCAGGAGCAGGCTGATCCGACTGAGGAGAATCCTGCGACAATGAGGTGCTTCGCGGATAAGGTGGTGGAGGAGGGCTAACAACAGCCACAGGAAATCTAAATAACAACGCATGTGGAGATCAAGCATGAACCACCTAACTACAGAATCATCAAACGTCAAAAACCATTCACACTAAGTGAATTGTGGTTCTGAATAAAAGGAACAGATGGCTTACTTAGGAAATCGTTGAATAACTGATTCGTTTCTTTGTGGCGAAAGTGGTTCGCGAACTACTCGAAAGGCTGATCGTTTTGATGGGATGTGTGGAATTACCAGGGAAGGCGAAGGTAACTGAAAGTGACGAGGACTTAATGTCAGTAATGGCTGCTTTAGAAAATGAAATTTTGAAGGAAAGAGTTGTAGTACAAGGAAGGGGCCCAAAACGATCGGGACGCAGTTGATACTAACTCTTTGAGACCACTCACTTTTGGACACTGGTCCTCGTCGTCGGTAGATTGGAACAAACGTGGTTGTCCAGGTTCTGAATGATTCAGATGAGGTATGACAGTATCTTTTGCATCTATTTCTTTTTGCCCTGCCATTCTCTTTATCAAAGGGAGCACTCTTCAGGTACGAACTTCCCCGATTACGGAGTAATTTCAACTTTTATCTAGCTTAGCTCAAGACCAGAATTCATCAATGACAGTCCCAGACTCTCTAGAAGACGGCTTTCGATCTTGTTTTTCCACTTTATGACTTTTGGTTCATTTTTCTGATTTTTTTGCAAACATAGATGAAAACCGGGAGGAAGATAACCCTGGAAGAGGAGATGAAGCTATGAAAGAAAACGAGAGGGAGAAATGAGATATCCTCCGGGCATCTTGCGCATCTTTCAAACGTCAGTTATTCTTCTCTACTACCGTCACTTATCGAGGCTCATTGCCAGCCTCTACTACTGCAATAATTGCGTGACACGCCCACCAAAGAAGAGCATCCTTGTGGGGTTGCAATGCCGTTTGTAGGCCTTTTTATCGGGGCAACATACCATCTGGACTACTGTACTGCCTGAGCATATTTTCAATGCGGCGGAAACAGACTGTTGCCTACCGTACTCATAAGAAACTATGCCGATTTTTTCTACGATTCAATTCAATCTATAGACTGAACGAAAAATTATTGATGGAAGAGAAAATAGCCTAACCCTGAGAGCATTAAGAACCTAACCTTAATTTAGCTTTGGAGACAGCTGATTATCAAAAAGGCAAAGAAGTTTGCACTAGGAAAGTTTTCATTTTCCTCGGTTAACACTAATAACAGGTCTATTTCGCAATGACATGGACCCGGAAGTCTATGCGCAGAAACCTGTCCTGTCCCTATCTTAAGATATCAACGTGTAGGTAGGTTGAGGAGCAAATATTTGCGTAAAAAGTCTATCTGTTGATCCTAACCAGCGTAAAAATGAACTGTAACCATCAAAGGGCTGTCTCATCATCAGCCACTTGGGTGTGTCCTCTAACAGTAATTCGCTCAAAACATCTCGATCATACACGTAGGCGAACACATGTGCCTTAAGTGGAGACAGAAATAGAAGGCTGGAACCCTGTTCTATCGGAACTGCAGAGATCAAGTATATTCAGAGGTATCTCTCTAAGTTACCGATCCTTCGTAATGGAGAAGATTTCGAGTTTCGGGATTCCCACAAATCCCTTTCCAAGTACCCACGCCATTACTTCCGTATGTACTATACTTGTCCTCAATCTGGATAATCCGATTTGCCCGGATGATCTTGGAGTAATCACGAGTACACCACTCAATTAGCGGATTGCCTCAAAGGTAAGCGGTACCCTTAGCCTGTTCTTGGTTGATCGACACCACCGCAGTTAACCGCTCTAGGTTGTCATAGAGGAGCTGTTAATTATGCGTGGTATAGCTTTGTATGGTCATACCGATCGTCTTGTTAAGACTTCTCTTTTTCCAAAACTCCCGGTTCTTTCTATTTTCTTGCTTTTGCCCAGGACATTTTCATATCCCCAGAAAAAGCTTACAATTAAAATAATTTTGAAAGGGTGAAGTTTGGGAATAGGTACATTCCCAGACATTCCCAGAGGTGCCTGTTCAATTCCTGACGAGCATTGTATTCAAAGGGCAACTAGCCTTTGGAAAACGTCACGAAAACGGAAACAAAAATGGAAAAGTAGTTAGTAGGTTCGCTTTTAATGGAAAGAAAACACGTACCGATTTTTCGCTGTCTCAGCACGTCAGTTTTCACATAGAGTTTTTTAGTAGCTTCAAGAAGCTCAGCTGCAGTGGGACTGCTCGCCAAAGGGCACTTCATCTGAAACAGAGAGTCGATCTAGAACACTTTTAAAGGCATGAACGACGCGCACCACGACAACACGGAGAAGTCCGATCAGCAGAACAATAAAGACATCGAAAAATAGCTATGACGAACATTATGGCAAAACATCGTGGACGCTGTCATAGATCCACGTGAAGAAGTCACGAGGATTGGGTATAAAGTCGATTTGCTCGTTTCATGTCCCAATATGGTGGTGTCAGGGCATTCGGAGACCCTGATCAAAACATCCCTGCTGTTTCGTGTTTGATGTTTAGTGTTTCCGGCTAGTGAAAAGGCAAAGGCTGAGCTAAATTCGGCTACAGAGGAAACACGAAATTTGCAGGCTACAGTAAGTCTGTGGAGAGGGGGTTATATAAAGAAACTGCAGCCAGCGAAAAAACAAAGCACACGCTAAGTTTCATATCATAAAAATTTTCCACGATGGAAATTGTTAATTGTCTGATTGGATCACTGCAAGTCCATAGACTATACAGTTTCTCTACCACTAGAACAACAAAGATTCATATCTGTGTGATACTAGTGAGTAGACCGAATAGTGAGTGGATGGCTATCTTCGTTTTAGGTCATCCACCGATGCAAATGAAATTTTACTCATCTACTAGTAAACCCCGTCTATGTTGGTGGTGGCGATTGGAATCTACCACACCATATAACATCGGATCGCTTGGAAGGAGGGCGAGAAAGGGGGGGAGTGGGGTGGGGTGGAGTGTTAGGGAAGCCTGAACTCAAGTCCAATTCATATCAAAAGAGTGTTTTGCTGTACTTTAGACGGGAATGCGCCATGGATTTGAGTTCAGGTAAAATCTTTCCAAATGAGGAAGTATTTTCTCGCATCATTCATTTTAGAGCAGAGATTTTGACCGTTTGACGACTTTAAACTGTAAAGGTATCATTCAGTGATTGGAAAGCCCGGTCATGCCGAATGTAAGGAATGGAGCACTCATGCGGGAGAGAAATAGCCATTTGAACCCTTCATCATATCCATGCCATACCAGGTAGAAAATGAAAAGGCAAAGTCAGTTCAGTAACGTCTGATGTCGGAATTGAAAGGAAGATCGAATGGGAGGACCGGAACGCTGTGAATCTGGGTCTCACCACACAGTCACTTCGTGGTTTCGATAGCTTTTTGACCGTTCCCACAAAAAGGACCATAAGGTCGACAGTATATCTAATAGGTTTGCACGGAATGTGTAGGTTATTATGGGGCGACTGGTCCACTGACAAAAACTGTTTGAGAAAGGGACCAGGTGACCCAGATCAAGTCAACTCAAAGACTATTCTGTGACAGGTGCTAGAAAGAAAAGCCCGTTCAATTACCAAGGCCATAAACCAACAAATCACTTCTTGTATGGTCTTAGGATATCAACTGTAACCAATTTTCAATTTTATAACTTATTAAACTGACCAATTTTCACTATTTAGATTTTTCCGCCAGTGCCTAACATCCACTGAAGTCACTGACTGTGACCCATACAACTGTCCGTCTTTTCTACAACCACCACGACGATTTACTGAACTTCCCAGGCGCACATGGGAGTCCAGAATTGGTACCAAGTATGCAGAAGAAAACTGCACAATAACGAAAATCCATTAGCTTCTAGAATTGCACAAGACAGCCAGATGGGAAATGTCGAACTTTCATGACTTGAAAGGATCTGAAGAGCTCGAAGCATACTAGAGAGCACTTGGGAGGAACATCTCTGAATCCACTTAGAGCTAGATTAAAAAGGCAACAGTGTCGGCAGTCAAACTTCTTCTATCAGGTGATTGAAATCAAAACCGCTTTAGGTTGAACTTTCTGGTGGGCCTGTTGGTTCACATGGAGGTTCAAGCGAGTTTTTTGTCTAGCAGGTGAAACAACACGGGTTTTGTCGGGGACAAAAACGATAGCGGTGTAACCACAAACTTAAAGCACTACTACTGAACCTAGGCGATGAAACTTGAATGACTGAACGTAACTGACTACTTTTAGGCCTGTGACAGCTACTGTTAGGCAGATGACGGTTACAACTGAACAAAACAACGGGAAATCGCTTCGTTTCGAACCGATTCGGAGCTATATCTCTCACGTTTACAAGAGGAAAAGATGCAGAGAAGGAATTTCCCTGAATAAGCAACGGCGACGATTCTTATAACGCTTTAAGGGGTTAGGTAAATATTATAAATCACAATGGAAGGCTGAACACTCACCGAAATCGACAAAGGGAAACTAAATAGTTTACTCGAGTAAACAGCTAACTCGTATTTTACGATGTACCTGGTTATGTTGTGATTGAGGAGATGGTAGTAGAAAGGGATCATGAGTCAAAATTGGGATAAGACGGAAGAATCACGTAAATACTGAGGCAAAAAACGAACATGAAGCTTTTGGTGAGCTCACTTAGGCTCACCAGTCCTGCGCACATTTGAAAGCTCCCACAAAGAAAGGATGAAGGGGACCTGGTTACTGCTTTTATACTAGTTTTTCTGAAGATATCACGGTTAACCTAGCCCCTAAGTTTGTGCCCTACAGTTAGGCCGTTACGTGGCTGGCAGGACCGGCGGAGCCACTCTAAGATACTGCTATGGCTTGGAGAGTGACTCGCCTTCCCGTTACGACCTTACAACGAACTGACCTTTATGTTAGATCGGTCAACGACCCGGTAAAGCGGTTCCACTCGAAGTACTGGAGATAAAGAATTTAAGATGAGAAAAGTCTGTTCTATCGAGTGTTTTGAGAAATTTATCGAAAAAGTACTTAATGAAGGGCATTATCACCACCAGAGATGGTGATAGCCGAGAACGACTTCGGACAGGTTTCCAGTCAATCATCACACGTGACCAATCCCAAGGAAAGCGAACTGTATCTCTGACACATCCCCATAAATCACCATCGTTCAACGTTCTCCTTAATAAGGGTATATTTTTAGCAAAAATGGTGTCCCCAGTGTGAAGTAGCCTACATTTACTTATCCACCGATTTTCCCAGATTATAAGGGGCTCGAAGTCAAAAATTTGTCAGCAAAACTGGTATCTTGTCACAGGTTGCGTAGCCAGGCAACCGTCGCAGCCACAATCCCAGGTATTTCGATCAAGGTTTTATTGGGAAGTATTGGGTGTACTGTTGATATTCTGGTAGGGATAAGAGGAAGCACACCACTTATTTATGCCTTTTTTTTTGCTGAAAATTGCATGAGTACTTCCAGCGCAGATACGGTACCGATAAGTAAGTGAGGTAAAGTTTACATCAAAAAAGGAACACCATGAATTTGGAGCCCAGCATTAGGGTCGTTGAGACCAACCCTCCAGGTAAATAATAAGTGATTGAGTATTTGTCCCTGACCCATCCCGTTTTGGAATGCGCCCCGCATTCGACTTCCACTCAGAATCGTAGTGGATTGATGAATTCGTATGTGGCCTACCCAACGACTATCGGTTTTCAGCTGATGATTAAGTCAGTACTTTCATCCTCCCAGACGAGCGTGATACCAATCAACCCTATCCGTAGGGATGGAAAGCTGGGCAGATATCGATCTGGGATCCGATAACTGACCATACGTGTGTATATGAGTGTATGAGTATGTGTTTTATGTATGTGTTTGTGTGTGTGGGATGGATAGTACACCACTTGCTCTGCCATCTCTGCCCTACAGAAAAACAGTCCTTCACATATAGAAGTTAACATCTGTACGATCGATAGCAGGCTCTGAGGAGCCTGAGAATAAATTTATCTCATTGAATTATAGAAAATCAAAGACGTTCATGAGTCAAAGTCGGATTCGTGCTCAGAATAACCACAGAAACAACATTCAAACAGATATATTATCCATGAAGTAGAGGAAGAGGCAGATTTCCTTGTTCAAAAAGCTTTGAAAAACTAGTTTGAGTGCCGTATAACCCATAATCCACATAAGAAAGTGCTAGAATATAGCATAGCGCTGACCACTTGGGGTGTTGTAGCTATGTGGAAATAAACAGGCTCTGATCAGATGTTTCCCGTGATAGTTGCTTAGTCATCCCAACCCGAACCTGAAGGATCTGTGGATTGACCAAATGATTGACCTGGATTGCATGAAAGTCCTGGGTAACTTCCAGTGGGAATACTTGGACGTAGTTTGAATGAGAGTGATGTTAAGAATGACTGTACTCCTCCAAATATGCTTTGTGGCAACAACTGTGGCTATAAACAAAACAAACAGGAAAAGGGAAAGTCTGACGCACATAGAATTGGTCAAGTGGCTGGGTAATGACGTTGGGGTGGTGTCACTGGGGTTGACAACAGTGTGAATGGGAACAGGTTCGATGTATGTACATACATACATAGGAACGTTGCCAATGCGAATCGATGCAAACTGCTGAAAACTATTATATGAGTATTGAAGCATTCAATACTCCAGCCCCCACCCCCCAATACAGCGGGGCAGCGGTCACGGTTCACTTTAATTGATGGTTTTTGATGTAGCAATAACGCCCTTTAAAACACTGTCACCGCTTGTTACAACTTCACAACGGTGATTTTCGTCCGTGGACTGCCAGAACCGAAAAACCAGCTGATGGAGAATTGCGAAAATACGAACTGAGTGAAAAAGGACCAGAAAGTGAAGCGGACGTGACCCAAGTTAGCCGAACCTTTCCTTGTCGGTTCCTAAGAAGGAGCGTGCCCATCGCTAATTAACAGTGGAACTAACAGTGGGGATGTTTTATATTCCTAAACCTAAATTGCTTCCGTTTTCTATTCACAAACTGATTTTACTCTCATAGTGGAGCCATCTATTAGGACAGCTCTCTGGGAGATACTCCTAGTCTTGCTTGACACTCAATATCATCAATATCCTTAATTAACTGAACAGCCAGTTTCCATCATCTCATATAATCAGCTTCAGTTGGCCATTGAAAAAGGCCGAAGTACAAAGACGTAGCTGACCCTGATGTGGCTGACCTATCCAACATCCCGCCCGTCTCCCGTTAGGAAGTATTCGTAATAGATATCCATCAAT